TCTAAAAGATACCAGGTAGAGCAGTAGTGCCAGTTTGGCCGACAGTTGTCGGAGAGAGAGCTCTTCATTAGAGGGCCAAGTCTCTAAGAAGGAGAGCAGAATAGCAACATCCCAAAATTGATTATATTTGGAAGCCGGTGGTCAACATATGGAGGGGTGTTTGCCAACCGCGGAGTTGTCGACAGGGGTATGAGCTGTCGAAATGGCGGAACGGAAAACATTAATTGACCGATAAGACTTACCCTGTTTGAAGAGTGATGCCAGAAAGTTCATGATGTTAATCAAAGAGGCTGAAAAGGGATTGACGTCCCTCTCCAAACACCAGCTATTCCAACGTTGCCAAGTTGAGATATAAGAGCGTCTTGTTCCTGGGGCCCAAGAGTCCCATAGGAGTCCTCGAGCAGCAGTCGAAAGGCCAGAGACACTCCAGGATCCCCTGAACTTCCAGGCCACCAACTGGAGGTGGCCTTGTAGTGCTAGTGGATGGAAGCTGCCTGAAGAGTCCCTGAGGAGGTTGTAGGAGACAGGTAAGAGTAGGGGGTAGCCCGCTGACATCTCCAGGAGATAGGGGAACCATGGTTGGGTTCGCCACAGTGGGGTCACCAGTGTTATCGTGACGCCCTGTGTTCTGAGGTATTGTACCATGCGTGGGATCATGGAGAACGGGGGAAAGGCATATGCTCCAGATGTTGGCCATGGTTAGAGGAATCCACTGCCAGGCACGCTGGGTCTGGAAGCCAGCTGAAGAATGCGTCTGTCTGATGGTTCAGGCGAGATGCAAACAGGTCCAGGTTAATGGGTCCTCTCAGAGCCTGCAGGTGATGGAAAATTCGTGGATCTAGTTGCAAGTTACTGGAATCCCTCCAGTGGCGGGAGAACCAATCTGCAACAAGATTGTCGGAGCCTGGGAGATATTCTGCACGAAGGGAGATGTTCCTGTCCTGGCAGAATTGGTACAATTCCTTTGTCAGATCCGATAGCATCTTTGATCGGGAGCCACCTAGGCGGTTCACGTATCGTACTGCTGAGACATTGTCCATCCTCAGGATAAGGCTGCAGTTGTACGCTTCCTTGGCAAAACTGCGGATCGCGAAAGAAACAGCAATTAGTTCGAGGCAATTGATTTGTAGTGCCTGTTCTGATGGGGACCAGAGGCCTCCGGTAGAACGTTCCGAGCAAGTGGCACCCCATCCGAGGAGGCTGGCGTCTGATTCCAGAATGAAATTGGGTTGTCGGCCGAAGATAGCCCTTCCATTCCAGGCTTCCAAATGTTGAAGCCACCAGTGGAGTTCCAATTGGACTTCGTCTGTGAGAAAAATCAGTTGCTCGTAAGATGTTGAACGATGTAAGTAGTGTGTTTTCAAATGTTGCATTGCCCGATAGTGTAGTGGGGCTGGAAATATTTCCTGGATTGAGGCGGAGAGTAATCCGATTGTGCGGGCTAAATCCCTGAGACGGAGATATGGTGAAGCCAGTAATCTTCGGGTGTCCTTTTTTATGGTTTGGATTTTCGTGGCAGGGAGTTGTAGGACTGCCTGAATCAAATCTATCTGAAATCCCAGAAACTGTACCGTCTGAGACGGAGTTAGAGAAGATTTTTGAAGGTTGATGACAAAACCCAAATTCTGGAGGAGAGTCGAAGTCATATCTGTATGGAGACGTAGAGTCTCCTCTTCTTGAGCCATAAGGAGGATATCGTCCAAGTATATGATGGACCGAATCCCTTGTGAACGGAGTATCACCATCACCGGTTTCATTAGTTTGGTGAAGCACCAAGGTGCAGAGCACAGTCTGAAGGGGAGACAGGTGAACTGCCATAGTGTTTTGGCCCAATGGAATTGGAGGAAGGTGCGGTGTTCTGGCGTGATTGGTACCATGAGGTATGCATCCTTGAGGTTGAAGCGGGAGAACCAATCTCCCTTGCACAGGAGATCCCGTAGTAGATGGATGCCTTCCATCTTGAAATGTCTGTGTTTGATGAATTTGTTCAGCTCTTTTAAATTGATGACTGGTCGGAACTCGCCCGACTTTTTCTTGACCAGAAACATGTTGCTCACGAAACCTCGTGGGCTGAGGGATTGTTCGATGGCACCCTTGGTGATTAGGTCATCGAGCTCGACCGGAAGGGACATGTCGTCTATTTAAGACATTCTGAGGGGGGTAGGTAAAGATCTTTGAACTGGGTTCTCTGTGAATTCAAGGTGGAAGCCAGACACGATCTGAAGGATCCACAGGTCCTGTGTGAGCCGAGACCACTGTTGGGAAAATGGATTAATCGGCCTGCTATAGGTATATGAGAAAAATGAGAGTCCATTACCTGCAGGAGTGCGACCGCGGAGGGAAGCAGATCCATGTCCTCTAATAGAGCCACAAGATGGGAAGAAGTGTTTGTGGTGGAAACGGGTATTGCCCGAGTTCCAGTGTTCAGAAGGTCGAGGCCTGTAGCCTGTGAAGGCAGCTCTGCCAGCCGACCGGCCTCTGTAATGGCTGGATCTCCCGGAAAAATGTTGGGTCCTAAACACCTTGCGTACAGAGGATTGCGCTTTGGTAAGCGTTGTAAACACTGCAACATGTTTTCTTAACTCCTTAATAAATTTATCTCCAAAAAGCATGCCTTGTGCCTCAGGGCCAAGCTCTTTAGTGCCTAGTCCGGCGAGCTTTGAGTCAATTTTGTATAGGACGGCTTTCCGCCTTTCGGTTGACATGACTACGTTGGCGTTGCCAAGTAGGCATAATGCCCTTTGTGCCCATTCACGCACCATGTGCGCATCTAAAGTGCAACCTGCCAAAGTCTCATCCGCAATACTGAATATTTGGATAAGCAGTCCCGCCATATCCCTCATCTTATCTTGAGTTGCCTTCGGGCCTTGTTCCAAGCCCTTACGGGGATCTTTTCCGGATTTGTATAGGAAGGTGACGAGCAAGGGATCAAATTCTGGGGTAACAGCTACCTTGTCTGGGATAAAAGGTCATGGGCATTCTGCTCTTAACTTAGCTCTCAGGCTTACGCAGCCACATCCTGCAAAATTTAGCAATGTGGTCTGGGGGGGGGTCCACTCAGTTGACCGTGGGTGTTTGATGTTCCTAGGGTCGAATAGGGGACAGCCAAGGATATCCAGAAAAACATCCTCAGAAATGGGGTTAGAGTCAGAGGGGGGTTCATTTAGTTTGTGAGAGGGAAAATCCTCATCCGAATACCCTGCACAGTATTCGTCAATCACTTGAAGTTGCAGGTTGGAGGTGGAACCCTCTAATGGGTCCAGGTTATAATTGGGGTTATTATCCCAAGTATCTGGAATGGATAATCTAGGCGTTTTAGCCGGTGCTTTGCCTTTACCGGCGGTAGCACTATCGCCCTTCCAGGGGTGTTTGCGGGGGTTTTCCTCATGTTCTGAGCTTTTTGACTCTTCGGAGTCTGACAAATGTACAATAGGGGCTCTAGAGGTGGATTTTGACTGGTCATGGAAAACTGCTAAGGCTTTTGGAATAGAGTCTGCAATGGCGTTATACAGCCAAGCTTTGAGCTCCTCAGGGACTGCTGGTTCAGACAAATCGGACATAATTGCGGTAAAGTGAGGTCACCACACGTAATATATCAAATATATAATAAATGATTTTTTTTAATTTATTTTTTTCAGAATAAATAATTCAATAGGTGGTGGACTTGTTTTTGGCAAAGTAACGCAAAGCATTGTATCAAGAATGGTGTCAGTCACCAATTGAGTGTGGAGTCACCCACAAATAAAATGAGAAATAATCAAAGTAGTACACTTTAATGAGTGGGTCACCCTTTAGGAGGCAAAAAATGGCTTATAAAGTGGAGGGGGTCAACCTCGGTAAATTTGAGGCAATATTAATATACTTTTTAGAGGGGGTCACCCTCTATAATGAGGCAGACAAATATAGTAGAGGGGGTCACCCTCTGTAATGAGACAATATTATTTAGTATAGAGGGGGGTCAACCTCTTATGCAAGGATTTTTAGAGTTTAGATGGTTTTAATCTTAAAGTAAAACAAAGTGAAGACACTTTAATAAAATAAATGTACCAGCTAAGTGCTGTTTAATTAGAAGTATGCATTACATGTATTGTTTTGTTATGTAACTTACCTGACTAATCAGAAGAAGGCGCTGGAGAGCCGTGGAGATCACCTAGCTGCAACTGACGTTGATGGCGGAGAAGAAGTGCGGGAAAAAGCCCGCACAATGCAGGGGGAAGGAAATGGTCGCGGGAGGACGGACCCGTCGCTATGGTGACGGTAGGGAAACGAACGCGGCAATACAGGCGGTGATACCGCCCATGATTGGCAGCCGGCCAGAGGTTGCGATTGGGTTACCGACGCGGCTCTGTCAGTAATCCGATGTGTTTAGGATGTGACAGAAGTTGCAGACGGCGGTAAATTAATTAAAGAGACAGTGGTTCAAACGTTAGTTGGGTTTAAGGGTAGTTGTAAAAATGACCTGATAGTTTATTGAATTACAGAATGAACTATAAAGCAATATACTTATGTTGGGTGAAGTAGAAATAAATTAAACCATGTTAATATATATTTTTAGAAATTGATTACATGCTGTTATTGGAATAGACTCACCTAGGAGGCTAGCAGCAAAGAAAGAGGAGCTGGGAGGAGCCTGATGACTGGACATACTCTATTGTACACTCTGATTGGTTAAATATTTTACTTACTGTTAACTGTTTCTTTGCTGCTGGGAGTTACAGTAAAGAAAGTACAGCAAATATGAAGCCTCCTGTCTTGACATAAAATTTTGATTCATTTCACACAAAAAGACCAGGCAATATATTGAACAGTGTATACATCAATACATTGTAACAGGTAAATTGTGTCATTCTTAAACAAGCTTGCTTAATTATTAGGGCATGTACCACTTATGGTGAGGTTTATGCCTCACTTCTTTGAACTAATTAAACTAGAAAGGGTGGGTGGGAGAGGAGTGGCAGAGATACTTGTTTGATGTAGACATGCCATGATGCCCATACCTGTTAAAGCCATGAGTTTACAGTCATCATTTGGAGTCTCCGCAACATATTCTCAAAGTATCGGGTGGCTGAGAGCAATGCAGTCATCATTTGGAGTCTGTGTGACATCTTCTCAAAGTATCTGGTGGCAGAGAACAAGTCAGTCATCATTTGGAGTCTGTGCGACATCTTCTCAAAGTAACGGGTGGCATAGAGCAAGGCAGTCGTCAATTGGAGTCTGTGCAACATCTTCTCAAAGTAACGGGTGGCAGAGAGCAAGGCAGTCATCAATTGGAGTCTGTGCAACATCTTCTCAAAGTATCGGATGGCAGAGAGCAAGGCAGTCGTCAATTGGAGTCTGTGCAACATCTTCTCAAAGTAACGGGTGGCAGAGAGCAAGGCAGTCATCAATTGGAGTCTGTGCAACATCTTCCCAAAGTATCAGATGGCAGAGAGCAAGGCAGTCATCATTTGGATGTTATAGAGTTTGCTTTGCAATGTTTAGTGATAATGGTGTTTGCAGCAGTAAGGATACACATGTCAGGGTACCTGTTGGTGATGTATCCAGGGAGGACATCCTCTCTGCTTAGGGGCTCCCTTCCCTTAGCATTTCGGCATATTCCGGCCGTTTTCGCGCCGGCCGCGCTAGCTCCTCCCCCTTTTATGACGCGACGGCTAGCGTCGACGTCATGACGTCGGCATTTGCATAAAGTGCCGGGAACCGCTATTCCGGACCTTTTGGGGGCGTGGTCTCTATTTAGATACAGGGTATTTAAAGGAAACCTTTACTACTGCTCATTGCCCTGTCGTGGTTCTAGCTTGCTAGTCACTCAGCGCGTTCTTTATCTTGTGTTTCCGGTTTTGACCCTTGCTTGTCTTTTGTCCTGTTGTCCTCTCCTCTCCTTTGACTCGGCTTGTATCTCGCTTACCTGTCCTCCGGCTCCCTTGACCTCGGCTTACCTTTTGACTATTCTTGCTTTGTCCTTACGTTAGTCCGGCCATTCTAAGGTCCGGTATACGTACCTCCTTCTGTGCGCACTCTGCGTATTGGATCCCTGTCAGTTTCCTGACATTACGACAGGGCCATGATGGATCCTGCAGGTGCTAGTCCTCCTGACCCCAGATTTGAGGCCATGGACCATAGAATGGACCAAATGGCTTTAGCGTTACAAACTTTGTTGACACGCTCCAGTACCCAGTCTGAAGAAATACGTTCCACTGCTAGCCACTCGCTAAGTACTGGTTTGGAAGTAGCCACTGTAGGCGCATCTTCCCATGTCACGTCACCATTACGATATGGGGGTTCGCCTGATGCTTGTCGTGGTTTTTTAAACCAGATAAGTATACATTTCGAACTACAACCCCGGGCTTACCCCACTGACAGGGCTAAGGTAGGCTTTATTATAACCCTGCTAATAGATAAAGCACTTAGATGGGCCAATCCCCTTTGGGAGAATGACAATCCTTTAGTCTACAACTACACTGCGTTTGTCACGGCTTTTAGAAGAACCTTTGACCCCCCAGGGAGGAAGATTAATGCGGCCAGATCCCTGTTACGCCTTAAACAACAAGATAGGACCCTTGTAGAATATGCTCTAGAGTTTAGATCATTGGCAGCAGAAGTGAAATGGAACGAACAAGCTTTTATGGATGTTTTCTTGAATGGGTTGTCTGATGAAATTTTAGATGAAATTGCCACAAGAGAACTTCCGGAAAATTTAGAGGATTTAATATCCTTCATTTCCAGAATAGATGAACGCATGAGACAGAGGCAGAACACTCGGGAAAGAGTTACTAGACTTCCTGTAAGACTCGCTCCCTCATTTCAGAACCCTGACTCCTATAATCCTACTCCACCAGAACCTATGCAAATAGGTAATACTCGCTTATCTGAGGCTGAGAGACAGTACAGGAGAAGGGAGGGTCTCTGTTTATACTGCGGGCTGAGAGGTCACTTACGTCTTAGTTGCCCTAATCGTCCGGGAAACGCTCGCACCTAAGTTCCCTTAGAGGACGGGCCTTGGGTGTTTCATTACTGTCCTCTATGCATAATAAAAAAGACCATAGGCTTCTGATTCCTGTCTCTCTAGCTTGGGAGAAGGGGTTTATTGCTACGATGGCATTATTAGATTCTGGAGCAGCAGAAAGCTTTATAGACCAAACTTTCGCTAATAAGCATTGTATCCCATTCCAATTGAGAGATACACCCTTGGCCGTTGAGGCCATAGATGGTAGACCTTTATCTGAACCAGTAATATTCCATGAGACCGAACCCGTTAAGCTTACTGTTGGTATTTTCCACGAAGAGTTGATTTCCCTTCTGTTAATTTCCTCCCCGGCAGTCCCAGTGGTTCTAGGATATTCTTGGCTCAAGAGACACAACCCTCAGATTGACTGGGAGGGTGGAGAAATCGTTTCTTGGGGTATGGGTTGTAGGGAAGAATGTCTGCAGAGAGTTACTTCTGTTTGCCCCGTAAACTCTTATGCTAACACTTCTCAATCCACAGACGTTCAGATACCATTACAATATCTAGACCTCAAATCTGTATTTGACAAGGGTAAGGCGGATACTTTACCTCCCCACCGGTCTTATGACTGTTCTATTAAACTTTTCCCTGGTACTATGCCTCCCAGGGGTACGGTATACCCTCTATCCACCAAGGAAAACTTAGTTTTAGAGGAATATATCAAGGAGAATTTAGACAAGGGATTTATTAGAAAGTCTTCTTCTCCGGCGGGGGCGGGTTTCTTTTTTGTAGAAAAGAAAGACGGTACCTTACGTCCTTGTATAGACTATCGGGGATTGAACAAAATTACTATCAGAAATGCTTACCCTATTCCTTTGATTACTGAACTCTTTGACAGACTAAAGGGCTCGAGTATTTTTACTAAACTTGACTTAAGAGGAGCATATAACTTAGTGCGAATTAAACAAGGAGATGAATGGATGACAGCATTTAATACCCGTTACGGGCATTATGAGTATACCGTAATGCCGTTTGGGCTTTGTAACGCCCCGGCCGTCTTCCAAGACTTGATCAATGAAGTTCTTAGAGAATTCCAACATGAATGTGTAATTGTATATTTGGATGATATATTAATCCATTCTAGAGACATTAACTCACATCATAGACAAGTCAGAAAGGTATTACAGAAACTTTTACAACATGGATTGTATTGTAAATTGGAAAAATGTAGCTTTGACCAGTCTCAGGTAACTTTCTTAGGTTACGTAATTTCCAAAGACGGGTTTATGATGGACCCGACCAAACTAAAATCGATTTTAGATTGGCCTTTACCTAAGGGACTCAAAGCCATACAAAGATTTCTTGGATTTTCTAATTATTACAGACATTTTATTAAAGGGTACTCCTCTGTTATCGCTCCTATCACTAATATGACCAAACAAGGAGCCGATACCAAAACCTGGTCTACTGAGGCTTTATCTGCTTTCGAAACGCTCAAACAGTCTTTTGCCTCAGCACCTGTATTAGTTCATCCTGATACCTCTCTACCCTTTTTACTTGAAGTTGATGCGTCTGAAACAGGGATAGGCGCAGTGTTGTCCCAAAGACAAAGTTTAGATAAGCCGCTGCACCCTTGCGGTTTTTTTTCCAAGAAACTATCACACACTGAAAGGAGATATGACATTGGTGATAGAGAACTTTTAGCTATCATTATGGCATTAAAGGAATGGAGACATTTGTTAGAGGGCACCGTCCTCCCAGTTACTATCTTGACTGACCACAAGAATTTATCGTATATGGGGGAGGCCAAAAGATTATCTGCCAGGCAGGCACGTTGGTCTATGTTCCTTACACACTTTAATTATGTGCTTACTTACAGGCCTGGTTCTAAGAACACTAAGGCAGACGCTTTGTCACGTCAGCACGAACCTACCACCTCTACAGAGGATACTTTGTTCCCTATTATTCCTGAAGTCAATATTATCGCCAACACCAATGTCAAAATACACTCTCCATTGCTCGCTGATATTCAGAACGAACAATCTCTTGCTCCCGAACGTACTCCTGTGGGCCGCTTGTTCGTGTCTCCCAAATTCCAAGTGGACATTATTCGCTGTTTCCACGATAGCAAGATCGCTGGTCACCCCGGCATCCACAAAACTTACTGCCTGATCTCCAAAGACTTCTGGTGGCCCGGTTTACGTAGGGATGTGGAAGACTTTGTCAAGGCTTGCAATGTTTGTGTCAGGAATAAACTTCCGCGGGATCTCCCTTGTGGTTTATTGCAGCCCTTAGTCGTTCCCAACAAACCTTGGGCTTGTTTGGCTATGGATTTTATTGTTGATCTACCAGCTTCCAATAGGCATACAGTTATCCTCACGGTCCTTGACAGGTTTACTAAAATGGCTCATTTCGTTCCCTTGCCTAAACTTCCGTCCTCCCCCGAACTGGCCGTGATATTTGCTAGAGAAATTTTCCGTTTACATGGTATTCCCAATGAGATTGTGTCAGACAGGGGTTCCCAATTTATTTCCCGTTTTTGGAGATCCTTCTGTTCACAGTTGGGCATCAAACTGAATTTTTCTTCGGCCTATCATCCCCAATCTAACGGAGCAGCCGAACGCACTAACCAAAAAATTGAGCAATATCTACGTTGTTTTGTTTCTGAACACCAGGATGACTGGGTCGGTCTGATTCCTTGGGCGGAGTTTGCTCACAACAACCTTGTTTGTGGTTCCACTCGTAACAGCCCCTTTTTCTTGAACTATGGCTTTAACCCTACTGTTCTTCCGTCGGTGTCTCCTTCCCAGGGTATACCGTCGGTTGATATTCATATAGCCAACCTGAGAAAGTTGTGGGATCAGACTCGACAAATTCTTGAACGTAGTTCCGCGGTGTTTAAGTCACATGCTGATAGGCGTAGACGTCCTGCTCCTATTTTTTCTCCGGGGGATAGGGTCTGGTTGTGTACCAGACACATTCGCCTGAAAGTTCCTTCCTTGAAGTTTGCTCCTCGTTACATTGGTCCTTACAGGGTGCTGAGGAGGATCAACCCGGTTTCTTATTTGCTGGATCTACCTCCTACTCTACGCATCCCTAACTCTTTTCATGTGTCGTTATTGAAACCTCTTGTTTGTAACAGATTTTCCTCCCGCTCTGCTCCTCCATCCTCGGTCCGTGTGGATGGTCAGGAGGAATATATCATCAAGTCCATCCTTGATTCTCGTATTTCTAGGGGGAAGCTGCAATACCTCATAGACTGGAAAGGTTATGGTCCTGAAGAGAGGTCTTGGGTTCCTGGTATAGACGTGCATGCTCCTCGTCTTCTTCGGGCCTTCCACGTTCGTTTTCCTTCTAAGCCAGGTCCCATCCGCCCGGTGGGCGTTTCTAGAAGGGGGGGTACTGTCAGGGTACCTGTTGGTGATGTATCCAGGGAGGACATCCTCTCTTCTTAGGGGCTCC